TCTTAATCTCTCTTCATAAAGGAGGTTTCTAATTCCTGTTATTGATTGTTATTATTCTCTGACCAAGATCAAGTGAACTTATGTTCATTCTGTAATACAGAGACCAACAATGAACAGTATAATCCAACTGGGGCTCAACAAGGGCAGGAGCAAGGTGAACAATTCTATTAGATATATTGGTGCTACAACATCTAGAAATATATCCCAGAATACTCTTACCTTTATTCAATATATTTATGTACTAAACTGAAACTTCCAGTCTTTCAAGTAACTTGAATAACCTGTCTTCCTTCTGAATTAGCAACAGTCTTCCTTCTGTACTAGTAACAGTCTTCCTTCTGAACTAGCAACAGTCTTCCTTCTGAACTAGCAACAGTCTTCCTTCTGAACTAGCAACAGTCTTCCTTCTGTACTAGCAACAGTCTTCCTTCTGAACTAGCAACAGTCTTCCTTCTGAACTAGCAACAGTCTTCCTTCTGAACTAGCAACAGTCTTCCTTCTGAACTAGCAACAGTCTTCCTTCTGAACTAGCAACAGTCTTCCTTCTGAACTAGCAACAGTCTTCCTTCTGAACTAGCAACAGTCTTCCTTCTGAACTAGCAACAGTCTTCCTTCTGAACTAGCAACAGTCTTCCTTCTGTACTAGCAACAGTCTTACTTCTGAACTAGCAACAGTCTTCCTTCTGAATTAGCAACAGTCTTCCTTCTGTACTAGTAACAGTCTTCCTTCTGAACTAGCAACAGTCTTCCTTCTGAACTAGCAACAGTCTTCCTTCTGAACTAGCAACAGTCTTCCTTCTGTACTAGCAACAGTCTTCCTTCTGAACTAGCAACAGTCTTCCTTCTGAACTAGCAACAGTCTTCCTTCTGAACTAGCAACAGTCTTCCTTCTGAACTAGCAACAGTCTTCCTTCTGAACTAGCAACAGTCTTCCTTCTGAACTAGCAACAGTCTTCCTTCTGTAGTAGCAACAGTCTTACTTCTGAACTAGCAACAGTCTTCCTTCTGAATTAGCAACAGTCTTCCTTCTGTACAAGTAACAGTCTTCCTTCTGAATTAGCAACAGTCTTCCTTCTGAACTAGCAACAGTGTTCCTTCTGAACTAGCAACAGTCTTCCTTCTGAACTAGCAACAGTCTTCCTCCTGAACTAGCAACAGTCTTCCGTCTGAACTAGCAACAGTCTTCATCCTGAACTAGCAACAGTCTTCCTTCTGAACTAGCAACAGTCTTCCTCTTGAACTAGCAACAGTCTTCATCCTGAACTAGCAACAGTCTTCCTTCTGAACTAGCAACAGTCTTCCTCTTGAACTAGCAACAGTCTTCCTTCTGAACTAGCAACAGTGTTCCTTCTGAACTAGCAACAGTCTTCCTTCTGAACTAGCAACAGTCTTCCTTCTGAACTAGCAACAGTCTTCCTCCTGAACTAGCAACAGTCTTCCTTCTGAACTAGCAACAGTCTTCCTCTTGAACTAGCAACAGTCTTCCTCCTGAACTAGCAACAGTCTTCCTTCTAAACTAGCAACAGTCTTCCTCCTGAACTAGCAACAGTCTTCCTTCTGAACTAGCACCAGTCTTCCTTCTGAACTAGCAACAGTCTTCCTCCTGAACTAGCAACAGTCTTCCTTCTGAACTAGCACCAGTCTTCCTTCTGAACTAGCAACAGTCTTCCTTCTGAACTAGCAACAGTCTTCCTTCTGAACTAGCAACAGTCTTCCTTCTGAACTAGCAACAGTCTTCCTTCTGAACTAGCACCAGTCTTCCTTCTGAACTAGCAACAGTCTTCCTCCTGAACTAGCAACAGTCTTCCTTCGGAACTAGCAACAGTCTTCCTTCTGAACTAGCACCAGTCTTCCTTCTGAACTAGCACCAGTCTTCCTTCTAAACTAGCACCAGTCTTCCTCCTGAACTAGCACCAGTCTTCCTTCTGAACTAGCAACAGTCTTCCTTCTGAACTAGCAACAGCCTTCCTTCTGAACTAGCACCAGTCTTCCTCCTGAACTAGCAACAGTCTTCCTTCTGAACTAGCAACAGCCTTCCTTCTGAACTAGCACCAGTCTTCCTCCTGAACTAGCAACAGTCTTCCTTCTGAACTAGCACCAGTCTTCCTTCTGAACTAGCAACAGTCTTCCTTCTGAACTAGCAACAGTCTTCCTTCTGAACTAGCACCAGTCTTCCTTCTGAACTAGCAACAGTCTTCCTTCTGAACTAGCAACAGTCTTCCTCATGAACTAGCACCAGTCTTCCTTCTGAAATAGCACCAGTCTTCCTTCTGAACTAGCAACAGTCTTCCTTCTGAACTAGCACCAGTCTTCCTTATGAACTAGCAACAGTCTTCCTTCTGAACTAGCAACAGTCTTCCTTCTGAACTAGCAACAGCGTTCCTTCTGAACTAGCAACAGTCTTCCTTCTGAACTAGCAACAGTCTTCCTCCTGAACTAGCAACAGTCTTCCTCTTGAACTAGCAACAGTCTTCCTTCTGAACTAGCAACAGTCTTCCTTCTGAACTAGCAACAATGTTCCTTGTGAACCAGCAACAGTCTTCCTTCTGAACTAGCAACAGTCTTCCTTCTGAACTAGCAACAGTCTTCCTTCTGAACTAGCAACAGTCTTCCTTCTGAACTAGCACCAGTCTTCCTTCTGAACTAGCACCAGTCTTCCTTCTGAACTAGCAACAGTCTTCCTTCTGAACTAGCAACAGTGTTCCTTCTGAACTAGCAACAGTGTTCCTTCTGAACTAGCAACAGTCTTCCTTCTGAACTAGCAACAGTCTTCCTTCTGAACTAGCAACAGTCTTCCTCCTGAACTAGCAACAGTCTTCCTCCTGAACTAGCAACAGTCTTCCTTCTGAACTAGCAACAGTCTTCCTCCTGAACTAGCAACAGTCTTCCTCCTGAACTAGCAACAGTCTTCCTTCTGAACTAGCAACAGTCTTCCTTGTGAACCAGCAACAGTGTTCCTTGTGAATCAGCAACAGTGTTCCTTGTGAACCAGCAACAGTGTTCCATGTGAACCAACAACAATGTTCCTTGTGAACCAGCAACAGTGTTCCTTGTGAACCATCAACAGTGTTCCTTGTGAACCATCAACAGTGTTCTTTGTGAATCAGCAACAGTGTTCCTAGTGAACCAGCAACAGTGTTCCTTGTGAACCAGCAACAGTGTTCCTTGTGAACCTGCAACAGTGTTCCTTGTGAACCAGCAACAGTGTTCCTTGTGAACCAGCAGCAGTGTTCCTTGTGAACCAGCAAGTGTTCCTTGTGAACCAGCAACAGTGTTTCTTGTGAACAAGCAACAGTGTTCCTTGTGAACCAGCAACAGTGTTGATTGTGAACCAGCAACAGTGTTCCTTGTGAACCAGTAACACAGTTCAGGAGAGAACAGCCCGCCACAGTCACACAGTCAGCCCCACAACATTAGGGTTCCGGCCTCCGGACAAATACTTGGTAAACAACAATTTGACAGCAGTTATTACGGACTGATCACAGGAATATTAACATATATTTTCTTCCCATCATCCCGAGCCCGCAGCTGCGAGAACATGTGACTTTTACAGTTGTCAAAAGACAGGGGAAGATGGAGACAGAGGCAGGTAGGGAGAGATGTGAAGAGGGAGGGAGAGAGAGAGAGAGAGGGGGAGAGAGAGAGAGAGGGGGAGAGAAAGAGATAGGGAGAGAGAAAGAGAGAGGGGGAGAGAAACAGAGTGGGAGAGAGAAAGAGAGAGAGACGGGGGAGAGAGAGAGAGACGGGGAGAGAGAGAGAGAGGGGAGAGAGAATGAGAGAGAGGGGAGAGAGAGAGAGAGAGAGAGAGAGAGAGAGAGAGAGAGAGAGAGAGAGAGAGAGAGAGAGAGAGAGAGAGAGAGAGAGAGAGAGAGAGAGAGAGGGAAGAGAGAGAGAGAGAGGGAAGAGAGAGAGAGAGAGAGAGAGAGAGAGAGAGAGAGAGAGAGAGAGAGAGAGAGAGAGAGAGAGAGAGAGAGAGAGAGAGAGAGAGAGAGAGTGAGAGAGGGAGGTGGTAGAGAGGTGTAGGTAAAGGAAGAGAGGGGGAGAGAAAGAGAGAGGGGGAGAGAAAGAGAGAGGGGGGAAAGAGAAACGGGGAGAAGGGAGAGACAGTTAATAGTGTGAGAGAGAGAGACAGAGAGACCCGGGCTCCACCGGGTGTCCCTACTAGTAAATTATAAAAACATTTCAAATAAATTTACTGCCAGTAACTTAAACAATGACGATAAATATAAATATGTGAGTCACTTAACAATATTTTCCTCCATAACTTCACTACAACACTGTCCACACACCTGCCAGTCCACCATACAGCAGGGAAAGTTACACTTAACACTATCTTCACTGATAACTTCACTACAACACTGGCCACACACCTGCCATGCTACGATACAGCAGGGAAAGTTACACTTAACACTATCTTCACTGATAACTTCACTACAACACTGTCCACACACCTGCCATGCTACGATACAGCAGGGAAAGTTACACTTAACACTATCTTCACTGATAACTTCACTACAACACTGGCCACACACCTGCCATGCTACCATACAGCAGGGAAAGTTACACTTAACACTATCTTCACTGATAACTTCACTACAACACTGTCCACACACCTGCCAGTCCACCATACAGCAGAGAATCAACATACTGTACGTGTTTGTGTCTCTCCAAGAAAGTACCAATTGTACTTGGTAGAATAGTACCAAGAAAGTACCAAAAGAAAGTAAATAATCACTTAAAGTTCTACACTGACACAACCCATTGTACTTTCTCGTATATAAAAAATTCAGCTGCCCGTTCTCAACATTTTTCACTCGTAAAAATGTTCAATAGTTTTGTTGATACGTTTACGGTGACCAGCCAGGATATGACGGCTCAAGGCTCCACATACCAGTGATTGCACCATCACACGGCCTTGTATACTCACACTCGGCCTTGTATACTTATCACAAGGAGTTATTATTATTATTATTTCACCAGGGAATATTACCCCTATTTACCATTACGTGTAATATCAAACGGTAGAGAATGTACACACAGGGCCAGAGTATATTAGTGTAAGTATGAGTACACACGCCCGCTGGCTGGGAGGTCCGGGGGAACACCACCTCCACTGACACTCCCTCTGTGGGGCCTCTGCTTGGTCCCGCGCCTATAGTGCACATGCGGCACTTCTCGTCTCGTCTCAGCAGTTTGTGCTTGCGGGGGTTGAGCTTCAGCTCTTTGGTCCCGCCTCTCAAGTGTCAATCTACTGGTGTACAGATTCTTGATTCTTCGGCTCTATCAAATCTACATATGAAACTGTGTATGGAGTCAGCCTCCATAACATCACTGTCTAATGCATTCCATCTGTTAACTACTCTGACACTGAAAAAGTATTTCTAATGTCTCTGTGGCTCATTTGGGTATTAAGTTTCTACCAGTGTCCCCTTGTTCATGTTCCACACGTGCTAATTAGTTGGACCTTGTCCCACCCTGTCAGTTCCTGAAAATTTTGTACGTGGTGATCATGTATATCATGTATATAGGTGTATAAAGGGCCGCCTAGAGGTACATAAGGGCCACCTAGAGGCACATAAAGGGCCGCCTAGAGGCACATAAAGGGCTGCCTAGAGGTACATAAAGGGCCGCCTATAGGTACATAAAGGGCCGCCGAGAGGCACATAAAGGGCCGCCTAGAGGCACATAAAGGGCTGCCTAGAGGTACATAAAGGGCCGCCAAGAGGCACATAAAGGGCCGACTAGAGGCACATAAAAGGCCGCCTTGAGGTACATAAAGGGCCGCCAAGAGGCACATAAAGGGCCGCCTAGAGGCACATAAAGGAGCCGCCTAGAGGTACATAAAGGCCGCCTAGAGGTGCATAAAAGGCCGCCTAGAGGTACATAAAGGGCCGCCTAGAGGCACATAAAAGGCCGCCTTGAGGTACACAAAGGGCCGCCAAGAGGCACATAAAGGGCCGCCTAGAGGTACATAAAGGGCCGCCTTGAGGTACATAAAGGGCCGCCTAGAGGCACATAAAGGAGCCGCCTAGAGGTACATAAAGGCCGCCTAGAGGTGCATAAAAGGCCGCCTAGAGGTACATAAATGGCCGCCTAGAGGCACATAAAAGGCCGCCTAGAGGCACATAAAGAGGCCGCCTAGAGGTACATAAAGGGCCACCTAGAGGCACATAAAGGGGCCACCTAGAGGCACATAAAAGGGCCGCCTAGAGGCACATAAAGGTGCCGCCTAGAGGTACATAAAGGGCCACCTAGAGGCACATAAAGGGGCCACCTAGAGGCACATAAAGGGGCCGCCTAGATGTACATAAAGAGGCCGCCTAAATGCATATAAAGGGCCGCCTACAGGTACATAAAGGGGCCACCTAGAGGTACATAAAGGGACCTGCTAAATGCAGATAAAGGGCTGCCTATAGGTACATAAAGGGGGCCGCCTAGAGGTACATAAAGGGACCTCCTAGAGGTACATAAAGAGGTCGCCTAGAGGTACATAAAGAGGACACCTTGAGGTACATAAAGAGGCCGTCTAAATGCACATAAAGGGCTGCCTAGAGGTACATAAAGGGGCCAGCTACAGGTACATAAAGGGACCTCCTAAATGCACATAAAAGGCTGCCGAGAAGTACATAAAGTGGCCGCCTAGAGGCACATAAATTGCAGCCTAGAGGCACATAAATTGCAGCCTAGAGGCACATAAAGGGGCGCCTAGAGGCACATAAAGGGGCCGCCTAGAGGTACATAAAAGGCCACCTACAGGCACATAAAGGGACCGTCTAGAGGCACATAAAGGGCCGTCTAGAGGCACATAAAGGGCAGCCTAGAGGCACATAAAGGGGCGCCTGGAGGCACATAAAGGGAAGCCTAGAGGCACATAAAGGGGCGCCTAGAGACACATAAAGGGGCGCCTAGAGGCACATAAAGGGGCCGCCTAGAGGCACATAAAGTACCGTCTAGAGGCACATAAAGGGCCGCCTAGAGGCACACAAAGGGGGCCGCCTAGAGGCACATAAAGGGCCGCCTAGAGGCACATAAAGGGCCACCTAGAGGTACATAAAGGGCCGTCTAGAGGCACATAAAGGGGCCGCCTAGAGGCACAAAAGGGCCGCCTAGAGGCACATAAGGGCCGCCTAGAGACACATAAAGGCCGCCTAGAGGTACATAAAGGGCCGCCTTGAGGCACATAAAGGGCCGCCTAGAGG